AGAATGTCATATGGCGTATGAAACCAAACAGGGCACCCGGCTGGGATGGCATAACCTCTGCGGCTCTCGACTAGCGCACAGCTCTAATGTGAGGTCCGCGGTTGTAGCCGCAAGGCATCAAACCCGGGAGTGCTCGTATACGCTTCAGCAATATGGGACTCCCAAGGAACTAAAACTTCTAAGAACCTAGGTGAGATGGCGAGGGCTCAACGCACCGTCGCTCTGCGCACAACACGTGCTTTCAGGACAGTATCTGGGTCCTTCTCCTCGCGTCCATCGTACCAGCCGACAGCCGAGAGAGCCAGGATCCACTGACGCCGTGAAGATCAGGACGACTTGACAACAACAGCGACAATGAACCGGCAAGAGAGGGACATAAGCACCGCAGCCTGGCAAGCCCGTTGGGACCGGTCCAGCAAAGCCAGGTGGACGCACAGACTCCTCCCGGACGTGGGTGGCTGGCTGTCTAAGCCATCTATGAGTCTGACTTTCCACCTTACCCAGGCGCTCGCCGGCCACGTCTGCTTCAGGGCGTACTTGAAGAGGATGAATAGGGCCGAAGACGGGTACTGTGTTTACTGCGTCGACCCCAACGACACGGCAGAGCACACCATATTCGTGTGCCCAAGATGGGTCGACGACCGCGATACTCAAAAGACCCCCGGAAGCTGGTGACGTAGAGGAAATCTTGTGCGGGCCCCGGGAACCAGAGATGCCGGAATGCCCCCAAGCCCGGCTCCGAATAATAGAACAGGCTAGAACAAACCGGGTGGAGTTCTTCGAAATGGTTGAATCAATCATGAGTACAAATTAGCCGACGAATGCTAGGAAGAAGCCTACGACCAGAGACGACGAAGGACCAGGACAGCCTAACAGGACAGACTGTCCCACGCCCCCGATCCTAGGACCCAAGATGGAGAACGTGTTCGCACGGCGAAACGTCGGAGGTGCCACCGACCACATTCTCCATCCCCACCGTGGCACCAAGGGAGGGAAGGACGATCACGGTATCCCTGGACATCAACAGGAGAACGAGAAATCAAGGGCGGTGGACTCCGGTCGGTCCGCGAAACCGTTACTGAACCAAATAAGATGAACGTGAGACGGCAGACAGCTCAGAACGTGAATCCAGGGCGGCGGACTCCGGTCGGCTCGGGAAAACGGAAAAAATGTTATTAATTGTAAACTTTAAATAACTTGTACATGTAATGACCATTGTGAGGAGACTATTCAGAGAATTGTCCCGCCTTAGTCCTCATTTTGGCCTTCGGCCGGTGTGTATTAATTTTCAAAGGATATTTGTTTAATATTATAATACTGAAAATTATACTGAAATATCACCAAAAACCGCAGGACGCCGCGGTGGAAAACCAACGGCCGGTCATTCGATCGGTCGGTGCGGCATTTGGAAAAATCGTGGAAATTAGTGGACCACAATTGTTTTATAGGGAATGTTTGATTAATTTATATGTTTAAAACAACCCAACTGTGAATGCACTTCAGTCGAATTGATGATTTTCCTATGTTTTTTAAGAGGACTTTTCACTGGCATTTTTTGTCTCCGACCTTCGTCTTCTGTGTATAATTATTTAATTTGATATTTAATGGATACGTTATTTTGAATACATATTAAAATAACATATATTTAATAATAAATATATTTTAAATACAAATATAGAAAACCCTGGAGCAATTTTCATTTTAAGGTCTTACTTATGGTATATATTTTTACCTAATGAACTTGGTTTTTTTATATTTAATGATGTATGATATTTAAACGATTTAAACTGTAGGAAATTATTAAATTTAAATATGGTATGACACAACAGCGATACTCACGGGTACGCCTTTTTCAAATTATTATCTTAATATCGTTTGTAAATAGAATATTGTTGTTATGTAGAAAGCATAAGTTTCCGAAATTAAAAAAACTAACCACTATTTTTAACCATTCATTACAATATTGATTATCGGCCTGTTTATTTCGATGAGACTAGATAATCATTAAACATATGCATATTTCATACGATTGAAATGGTGGGAATTCTGATTTCTGAATTATATAATTGGTCTTTAAGCGACCCCACCATTGTTTTCACAAAGGATTTTTGAGACCCTCTGTGTATGAATTATTTCCATAAATACGATACCAGTACGAGTACACCACACTATAGTAAGGCCAGCGAAACTGGACGGGTGATTTTAGCGCCCACAGTGGCGTTTTTCGGTAGGGCCATCTACACTATATAGCCTCAACGAAAAAACGCCACTGGGGGCGCTAAAATCACCCGTCTAGTTTCGCTGGCCTTACTATAACAATTTTTTACATTCTTTAGTCTTTATTCACAGGGGGTGTGAACTTATAGCTATAATATTCATACCTCTTGATATAACTCAAAAGAGATCCTACTGCTTCGCTAGTATCGAATTTCATGGATCAAAAGATATGATTACTCGCTTCATCCATGGTAAAAAAAAAATAGAAAACTACCAACGGCATTGACCATAACAATAAAGATATAAATAACTAGGTTCTTGCATAAATATTTTAATCGTTGACTGTTTTGACTTTTGAGTATTTTACTACACGTGTCCCGTGTAACTCGTTCAATTAATTATTTACAGTGCTTGGCATAATGCCGTCCAACAAGTGTTCTGTGTTAGGCTGTAATAGTAATGCAAATGTTAAAAAACATGTGTTTCCGTTGGATGATGATGACTTTAAGACGTGGATTTTAAGAACTGGAAATGAGAAGTTGGTGAATCTTTCCAAGACTTATATTAGAAAAACGTATTTGGTTTGTACTGAACATTTTAGTTGTACTAGCTACAGCCCTGGTACTTCACGATTGAAGAAACATTCATTACCGAGTTTAAATTTACCAAGTATTTATTAGTCATCAGTCATCGTAATATGTGGTTATCTATGTGCAGAGATTTAATCTCATGTTGAACTGGTTAATAAACTATTTCTATGCTTGTGAATTAAAATTATGTATCTTTATATATCAATATTATTTGTGTGTTTATGCTGATTTTCATTTCTCATATTCAATCTGCTTGTGATTTTTCAATTGAAGGTAATGTTTATTTATTATGTACCTATTAATTGTATTTGTATTTATAATTAAATTATTATAATAATAATAATATAATTAATAATAATTATACTTATAATTATTTATTTTATTTTGTTTTATTTGTTACTCATACATACTTTAATTTATTTAATGTGTATACATATACCATTATATTATCATTAATACCTATTGTAAAAATAATAGTTTCATATTCAAATTTATTTATTTTTATTTTCTCTGAACTGGTATTTCTAATTAAGTTAATTATCAAAAACCAAACCTAAGTACTTTATTTCTGTTAATTCTTTTATTTCAATTCGATTACAATCGCTTATTTATTTAAAAGTATTACTATGAAAATATAACATAAAATGTTTAATATTTTTATTATTGTTTTAATAATATTACATTTTAGATACCTAATTAGCTTTGTTTACATTTATTGCCATATTATTGTTATCAAACAGTGATGTTATTAATTTATATGTGCTAATTTGAATAATAATTCATTCAATTTTTCCTTTTATATTTGAATTCTGTAAACCATTAATATAAATTATAAATAGTAATAACCCTAAAACTGTTCCATGAGGTACAGAATGTGTAAGAATCACAGGTTTACTACTTTAATTTTCTATATTAACTATTTGAGTTCTGAACTTTTTAAGAGGTTACCTTCACTATTCAAAATTTCAGTAAAATTATTTGCTTTTAAATTATTTTTACCCAATGCCTTATAAGTTATATTCCATTTACCTTTTATATTATTTCTTAAACTATACAGTTTATTAATTAAATATGTAGGAATTCATTATACCTATGTAGTTGTATGTTGTACACTTGTACCTATGTATCTATAGTTTCATTCTAGTATCTGTATGTTTTGTTTTTTTTTTTTTTTGGTGGTAGTATCTAAATGTTTAAATGTTTGTATTCTAAACAATATAATATATATTTGTTCTCGTTTATTATTTAGTTATACTTCCTTCTGTCAGCCCTGTCAACAAATCAACTGACATTATAATCGATGAATCTATGAATCCAGTTAATGATAGCTGCTCATCACCTCTGGCGTTACCTTTACTTAATGTATCTCAAGGTAAGAATTAAACACATGATATATTTAAGTAAACTGTTATAACTACCTAATTAAATATTTTTTTAGCCACACCTTCAAAGGAATTAACTAGTTCTGTGAGCTCTGTTTACCAATCACCTAACACCTCATTTGAGTTTGTGAATGTTAGCTGTTCATCACCTTTGGCTATACCTTTATCACCTGAACTAATTGATGGTAATAAAATACATACTATTATCTTATTAAATTGTCATAACTAGCTCTTTTTTTATGTATATAGAAACACCTATGATAAAATCAATATCTGGCTCTGTTGATGTAAGAGTTATTAAAAAGAAGGTGTGTTTGCTGAAACAGATTGGAATGAAAAATGTATCAGAATTAACACCAAGAAAAGGCAAACTATACGCAACGGCAAAAAAGTTAATCAAAAAAGTTAATTTAATTTCAAAGAAAACCTGTTCTTTGAAAACCCAATTAAAGATGGCTAAAAAATTTGTCATTTCTGATAGTTGTAACAATTTAGCTGACAAACTAAACAAAACAACACTAGATTTTATTAAGACACAAGTCAATATCCAACACCGAAATCCAAAAGGCAGAAGATACACATTACATGACAAAATTTTATCACTTTCCATATACAAAACTTCACCTAAAGGGTATAGGTTTCTTTCATCAATATTTGCTCTTCCGTCAAGATCTACTTTAACATCAATGTTAAGTAGAATTCCATTTAAAGCAGGAATAAATTTACATATTCAAGAAAACCTCAAACACCAGTCTAAAAAGTTAAAAGATATTGATAAAAACTGTATATTAATTTTTGATGAAATGGCGTTAAGTGCTTTATTAAGGTATGACAAAAAAAAATGACACGATACTCGGACTTCAGAAAAATCAGAATAACCAAACACCAAAGTTTGCTGATCATGCTCTAGTTTTTATGTTGAGAGGGATTGCTAAGAAGTGGAAACAGCCGTATGCTTATTATTATAGCACCAGCACTATTCAAACAGTTGATTTAGTCTCCTACTTGAAATGTGTTGTCAGAATTGTGAACAAAACTGGTCTTAAAATTGTAGCAACTGTCTGTGACCAAGGAGGAACCAATCGAGCTGCAATCAATTATTTGATGTCTGAAACTTGTAAAAATTATACAGAATGTAATATGGAGAAAACAAATTTAGGTTTTGAAATTGATGGCCAGGAAATAATACTAATTTTTGATCCTCCGCATTTGTTAAAATGTATAAGAAACAATTTATTTAATAAAGATGTGGTTTTTGACATGGATGGTAACACTTATACAGCGTCTTGGGATCATATTGTTGCTATGTACGATTTCGATAAGAAAAATGAAGAATTTGAACTTAGAACCCTTGTAAAATTAAACGACAACCACATTAACATTGCCAGAAGCAAAATGAAGGTTTTGAATGCAGCACAAGTCTTCAGCCACAGAGTAGCTTCAACAATGAAATTAGTGTCTGATAATGGTATGTGTATTTGATTGATTTATCTTTGTATTGTTTAAGTTACTAATATTATAGTATATTATATTATATGAACCTATACCTTTTTAGCCCCTAAAGGCAGTTTACTGGCCAATGCTGTAGGCACAGCCAAATTTTGTCTGTTCATGGATAAGACATTTGATTCAGTAAATGCCAGAACAATTAATCCTGAGTTAGGAAAATCACTTCGAAGTGCAGTAACAGATAAATCTCCCCACATGGATCACTGGAAATATGCAATTAAGGTTTTTTAGTCTATGAAGTTTGTCAACAAAACTAACGGTAAAGCTACTATACCCCCTTGCATCAAAAACTGGATAATATCTCTTAAATCATTTCTATACCTTTGGATTCAACTGAAAAAACGTAATTTTAAATATTTCTTGCCAAGGCAAGTCAACCAGGATTCTTTAGAATGTTTTTTCGGTAGTGTCCGGAGTCATGGTGTCAGAAATATTAATCCAGATGCATATCAATTTGTTCAGGCTAGTGCAACTCTATAGGGGGGATTTAAACGATATAGTTTATACTACGCATCCACCGGGAGCGTGCACGGCGCTACATCGGTAATCGGTATCAACCGTGGTCCGTGGTATTAACTATTGAACTATGTGATTACTGATTACTAGTCGGTACTCGGTGTCTAATACACGTGTCAAATTTTCGAATGCAACGTGTTTCTGACTTTTTCTGTTGAAAAGTGAAGACTGAAGTGTTGAATATTAATATTTTTCTTATGATATTAATTCGTTTTGATATACAATTGTACCTGTTACTGAAGAATAACATTTATTGTAGACTATCGTAAGGTATATTATTAAATATTTGATTTAATAATGCCTCCGAAGAATGCCTATAGATGTGTTGTGGATGGCTGTAAATCGAAAGGTATGTAATTTCTGGATTTATGCACTAACTACAATATTGTATATACTACTGTTATATTATACTAAATACTTAACCATGCATTTTATTCATTGTTCGGAACGTGCAATAAAGAAATGAATTCGTTCATGTTCATATTGTCATTAAAAAGGAACTCTTTCACATTCTTTGAAAAAATTAATGTATTCATTAGTTCGTTTATTTAAGAAACTCCTTGTCATACTTTAACCATATAGCGTTGTGGGTATGTGTAAAATACAAAATCTCAAAATTCTGATAACTTCGATACTATGTCCGACTAACAAACTCTGCTTGCACCATCATTTTAAAACAAGTTTTAATACTTAGGTAAGTACAAAAAATAAACAACATTTATGAAAAGCGTGGTAAATTATAGCGTAGAGTACCTTTGTGTAAATAACGCAAAATTTCTAATTTCAAAACGCTATAACTCCAAAACTAAGTCCGACACAACAAATTATGATGCACTGTTGTTCTTAAACAGTTATTCCAAGTTCCAAAAAAAAAAAAAAATAAAAAAATTTATGCAGGCTGTAAAGTGCATGTACTCCTTCTTTCCACACACTGATTTTATTATAGTATATTAAACAATGGTTGGATTGTACATAAAAAAATACAGTTTTATAACTTTTGAAATATGGTATGTAAGGTTGATGTTGATTTTTTATTGTAGATGTGATATGTCATCGTTTTCCTAATCCACGTTCAGATATGGAAAGACTTAAAACTTGGATGAAAATTGTTGGATTAGAATATGAAGATCCGTATTTAGTTTATAACAAAAAGTATATTTGTTCTTTACATTTCACAAGTAATTGTACGAGTCCTGGCACTAAACGACTTAACGCTAATTCGATTCCGTCACTGTTTTTACCAATCCAACGCAATACAGATGAATTAAATAATTTGGATACTTCAGTGATGTCCGGTATTATTGAATTGGATACTTCCCAAGCTAATTCTAATGCCATTAGTAAGTATAATGCATTATTTT